ACCATGTGCTTAAGCATTAAACGGTTATGGAATCAATTGATTAAACTCAAAGCATTTCGAGATCGCGGAACTGATTCAGTCTCATTCTAGTGATTACTGCAACTAATCAAAAGCTATTATTATCAACTGAAGTATTTTGAATCATCAATTTAACCGAGCACACAATAGAGCATGAGATGTATGGATATATATCAGTTGGTGAAATGACTCATTCTAGCTAACTTGTTGAGAAACAAGAACAAGAAGTCCCTGTGGACCAACCAAAATCTCACTGAGAAAACTAACAAGGCCAAACCAGACCACTGGAGTCACATCGACCCCTGCAAGTGGAGGAATCACTTTCCTAGTCTGGACAAGGATTGGTTCGGTCGGAGCGTAAGCTAAAACGTAAGGGAACTTGTCAACAGGAAGTTTTGGATACCAAGACATGATAATCCTCAAAATGAAGAGAAACCCAAAAGCTGATAACGCCGGACCTAAGATACCAATCGCAAGCTTAGCGGTTCCTGGATCCAGATCTGCCAGATACATGTTATGCAAAACCGCTGATTCTGAGACCACAAGAGTGTTGGAACAGAGACTTGTTGTTGTGTCTGCTTCTACGTGGCTTAAGGACGCTGAAACCACGGGAAGAGACGGAGATCGATTCCGAATATTAGGAAACCCACCTCGAGATTTCGCCTGAAATCATCAATTCGAGGAGAGAGATGTTAGAGAAAAGACAGTGATGATTGATAAGCGGATGAATAAAATGCTCGACTCACCGGAAGAAACGCCGGCGAGAAAGAGACGAGCCCGGAGGCCATGGATGTCATCTCTGCCTTTAGCGAACAAAAAGAAAAATGTGGATTTTTGTGGTTAGGAATTCAAGTCACAAAAAAAAAGAAAAAAAAGAATACAAGTCACAAAATCTGGTTTTCTCCGGGATGATCTTGATAATGCAAATGTGCTGACGTGGTAAATGAGTATCAGTATATTGGACTTTTAACGGGAAAACTTTCGTTTAAATACCGAACTATCCGGTTTGAGCCAAAACAAATATCAATTTGTTAATGAGTTATAAAAATCACAAATTTGTGTTGACTCGACCAAATTAGGTATACAATTAATCAACTTTAACAACATTTAAAAAAAACGTTAACCCCATTTATTATAACCGTTAAATCTCATAACGACGACGTTTTGATATTATGAAAAATGGTTATTTAAATACCAAACTCTTTGTTTTGCGCCAAAACAAATACCAACTTTTTAATGAGTCATAAAATACACAAACTTATATTGCCTTGGCCAAATTAGATATAATATTAGTCAACAGTAGATCGGAACCTAGATCCGGAGACATGGAGAGACGATACCCTCCAAGGTTTTAGCATCCAACAACTTGTTAGGGCACGAGATCCCTGAAGGCCGTAGTCTGAGTCTGGAAATCTAGGAGGGCACGAGATTGCGATAACCTAAGTCTGGAGACCTGGCGAGTTAGTATGAGAACTTTCATGGAGACCTATGGTCTGAGTCAACGGACTTGTCCCCTCTAAGACTACTGAGAAGTTCTCATCATTTTGTGGGGTAGAGCCTGAGGCGAACCTGCTCCTTAGAGCCGAGCTGCATTAGAACGATACCTTTCGGGAGACTAGGCCACTAATCCTGACAATTGTGATTCTCTTTTCTTTCTTATAAAAAATCTTGCTATCTCCTTCTTTTTAATTATAAAAAACACATAATAAATTATGCAATTGTTAATCGCATCCGAGATTATGTCTAACATCCCGTGAGTACTTTGAGGTAAAGTGAAAGAAAACTAACGACCCCAAACAGAGTGATTATGTTACTCACGCTACAATCTTGAAGGATCTCGTCTTTCTATGTCTCCGAATTTGGACTCCGATCTATAGTTGACTAATATTATAACTGATTTGGCAAAGTCAACATAAGTTTTTATATTTTATGACTTATTAAGAAGTTGGTATTTGTTTTGGCGCAAAACGGAGAGTTTGGTATTTAAATGACCATTTTTCATAATCTCAAAACGACGTTGTTTTGAGACTTAACGGTTATAATAAACGGAGTTAACGTTTTTCTAAAAAACTGTTAAAGTTGACTAATTGTATACCTAATTTGACCGAGTCAACACAAGTTTATGATTTTTATGACCCATCAACAAGTTGGTATTTGTTTTGGCTCAAACCGGATACTTCTGTGAATTTGTGATATAACCATATTGGGTGTTATAATAAAACTTATAGCCATCATAAACTTGTAATAAACTCAATAACCAAATGATATTTTTTTGGACTATTTTAACCCTAAAAGTTGAAGCTTATTGCCATCATATCCTTCCCATTTTTATTTGGGGATTTTTTGAAAAATACCTTAATTTTTTTGTTTTTGTCGACAACAACATTTTATTTAAAAAGCCCAAAGGCCAAAACAGTACAAACCCAAGATAATTTATAAACAAATCCGGCCCAAATCAAAAATACAGTCACGTAAAAAAGAAGACAAGTTCTTCTCGAAGCATTGACTGGAATCTTAAAGCACCGCCGGTAACCACCACTGATCTCCGATTAGCCGCCACCAATCTGCCAGTGATGACCATCCTCTTCCCTTCTGCCGATCTCAAACCCAATCCCTCAAAGTGCCAAATTTAACCTTATTATAATAAGTTTCTATTGCCCTTGCATGCACGATGCTTGCTGCTTTGTTTTGTATTCGTAGCGTTGAAACTTTTTTATGAAGTGATAATTGTATTTGAAAGCATCATATTAGGCATCTTGTTGCTAATGATCTCAAGTTTTCTCAGTTTTTGTAATTTTGTTGCTGCTGATCTTTTTAAATTTAAGTAATTTTACAATTTCGTTTTATGAGCATATAGAATTACTGTTGATTTTCTTTGTTTATGTTGAGCATATATATTGGTCGGAATGCAAGATTGATGGAGAAAATTTTCAAAAATATGCAATTCCGGCATAATATTGTTCTTTTGCATTGGCTGCTGCTTTGGTAATAAAACTCTTATTCTTATGTGGCTCTCTGGCCAAGTTACTTTGGTGGGTGTAAATCTGCCCAACAAACAAACATATAAGTAGACCAAACTAGTGGAATTGTTATAAGGAGTAGAAATGAAGATGTTAGTCGTCTCTCGTTTAGATGGTGCAAACTGTCTAGCCTCAACGACCAAGGAGGTTTTGTTTCCTCCCCTTAGTGGTGTTGATCAGGATTGCCAAATCGAAGACGTCAAACAAAAAAAATTTCTCACAATGATGAT